CTCCTAAGCAGTAACTGATTGTTTGTTTAGGTTTAATGATTCGGTATATACTCAAGTAGCCGGAGCTGCAATGGGTAATTGGTTTGGCTCACAAATGGTCAACGTTCCTTGTTTTAGCTTTACATGACTTAATCAAGTTCCCCTGTTTTTAAATTAGTTGAAAAATAAATTTCCTAATATTGAATTAATGTGCGAAACAGTTTTATAAATTATTGATTGTAGGTATGATTGAACAGAATAGGCTAAGTAATTTAGTACATCCATATATACAAAATCTAAACACTCACGCACACATACAGGAGGCACTTAACTATAGACCGGTATCGCTGACAAGTATTCCTTGCAAAGTACTTAAAATACTAATAAGGTTAAGACTGGTTACATACTTAAGAGAGAATTAGGTATGTAAACAAATTTTGCTGAACCAGCATGGGTTCAGGAAAGGGAAATCATACCTAACAAACCTTCTGGAATTCTATGGTAAAGTAACAAGAATGAGGCAGGGCAGGAAAGGATGGGCAGATTGTATATTTCTGGACTGCCAAACAAGCCTTTGATACAGTACCGCACAGAAGATTACTATACAAACTTGAGAGGCAGGCGGAAGTAAACGGAAAAGCCATAACATGGGGTAAGGAATTACCTAACAGGCAGGAGCGAGAGAGTAACAGTAAGGGGCGAGAAGTTGGACTGTTAAACAGTAAGTACCTCAGGAATCGGAGTTGGTCCAATTTTATTTCTATTATACGTAAATGATATGCCAACAGGAGTGGAGACTTATATGTCGATGTTTGCGGATGACGCGAAATCAATGAGAGGAGTTGTCACCGATGAGGATTGTAGGATCCTCCAAGAGAACTTGAACAAGTTGCAGAGATGGTCGGAGAAATGACTACTTCAGTTCGAAACGAGTAAGTGTAAAGCTATGGAAATGGGAATAGGGTACAGAAGACCTACAGGACAGCACACAATGAAAGGAGGCTACCTACATGTAACGACTCAAGAAAGAGACCTGGGAGTGGATGTAACACCAAATCTAACTCCAGAGGCACACATAAACACGATAATGTCTAAGCAGTGGATTATACACTAGCAAGAGTTAGAACATCATTCAAGAATTTAAGTAAGAAGACATTTAGAGCGCTTTTCACTGCCTATGTGAGACCAGTCTTAGAGCATGCCGTCCCATCATGGAACGACTTTTCTACCTGAAAATACACATAAGAAAATGTGAAAAGGTTCAGAAGTTTGCGATAAGGTTATTCCCAGAATTGCGAGGGATAGGGTATGAAGTGATTGAAAGAACTGAACTTGATAACACTAGAAAAAAGGGGGGAGTGGGGAGACATGATAGAAACGTATAAAATACATAGGGGTAATTGACAGTGGAAATAGATGAAATGTTCACACTGAACACCGACAGCACAATGGGGTATGTGTGGAAGCTTCAAACTCAGATGAGTCATAGAAATGTTAGGTTTTCATTTAGCGTAAGAGAAGCGGGAAAGAATGAACTAAAGGAGTAGGTTAAGGAACCAAACTCTATTCATAATTTTAAAAGTAGATATGATGCGAAAATAGGTCAGACACAGGATACCGAATAGAGGATGAAGTCCTTCATAAAACGGACAGAGAGAAAGATCTAGGAGTTGATATCACGCTAAACCTGTCTCCTGAACCCCAAATAAAAAGAATAACATCGGCGGCGTATGCAAGACTGGCTAACATCAGAACTGCCTTCAGGAACCTGTGTAAGGAATCATTCAGAACCTTGTATAACACATATGAAAGACCAATCCTGGAGTATGCGGCCCCAGCATGGAGCCCGTACCTTGTCAAGCACAAGACGACGCTGGAAACAGTTCAGAGGTATAGGCTAGTCCCAGAATTAAGAGGCATGAGTTACGGGGAAAGGCTGCGTGAAATGCACATCACGACAGTGGAAGACAGAAGAGTAAGGGAAGATATGATCACTACCTGCAAAATTCTCAGAGGAATTGACAGGGTAGATAAGGATAGAATGTTTAACACGGGTGGTACGCGAACAAGAGGACACAAGTGGAAACTGAGTACCCAAATGAGTCACAGGGACGTTAGAAAGAACTTATTCAGTGTCATAGTTGTTAACAGATGGAATGCATTAGGCAGTGATGTGGTGGAGGCTGACTCCATACACAGTTTCAAATGTAGATATGATAGATTCCAGTAGGCTCAGGAATCTGTACACCAGTTGATTGACAGTTGAGAGGCGGGACCAAGGAGTCAGAGTTCAAACCCCCCCCCTGTCGCAATCACAACTAGATGAGTACACACACACAATCCCAGTAGGCTCAGGAATCTATACATCAGTTGATTAATGGTTGAGAGGCGGGACCAAAGAGCCAGAGCTCAACCCCCGCAAACACAACTAGGTGAGTACACACACACACACACACACACACACAACTCTCTATCACACATACACACCAACCTATCCTCCTGATAAAATAGAACTGAAACTTTGTAGACGAGATTGTACAAATGTCGACGTTATGAACAAATATAAAGTAAAACGGGTACTATTCATTTTAAAGAGTCGGAAAAAATAAAGCTAAAACCAAACTTAAATATTCTTAAGCCTAGTATAGCACATATACGTTCTATATTTGGCTTCAGACAGCTTGTATTAGACCTAGGATAGTTAGGGTAGGTTTGGTTTCATAAGTAACAAATACAAAAACTTTTCTGGTTTGTCCAAACTCAATAATACAAAAGTCTACTTTCTATTGGTCAGTCACGTCCATATTTGTACAATCGACCACATCGTTAAAATAAGTGCTTTCGCTTTGGGAAGATAGGCTGCACACACTGGCTGAATGATGGATGAACTTCGACGAGAAATGCTGGGTGACAGTTGGAAAATTTGCCCCTCTGCTAAGGAAGGACAGTGATAGGCTATGATTAACCCATGGATTAACCAAGGACGGAAGGAAGCAAAGCACGAGGGCATGAAAAATCTACAAAAACAAAAGAATACCAGAACAGAGAAAGGTACCAGGAGACCAGAGGGTAAGGAGGGAATTAGAACAGCAAATAGAAAATGACATTGCCGCTAGAGCAGAGAACCAGTTATAGATATACACGTCTAGTTACAGGCTTGTAGAGGCGCAATTCTAGCTGAACACAGGTTATATATACCCAGGTCTAGCTGTACACGGATTGTAGAGGTGCAAATTTAATTGTTGTAGAGACGCTGGTCTAGGCGTAGCTGTACGGGAATTGTAGAGATAGACACAGGTCTAGTTATACAAGTATGCAAGGATTGTAGAGGATCAGTTCAAGTTATACACGGGTTATAAAGACGCAGCTCCAGCTGTACGTGGGATGTAGCAACAGCTTTGGTTGTACACGGGTTGTAGGTACAAAATTACAATTGTACACGGGTTGTATAGGCGCAGTTCTAGCTGTACATGGGAAAGACGCACAGGTCTACTTATAGTTGAAGACGGTTTGTTGAGCCGTACGTGACTTTAAGTTTCAAAAAGCTTACTCAACCAGGTCCCTTCGTTACCAATAAGATTGTAAGATTGTCTAGATTTGATGTAATTTATATGACAATGACTAATTTATAACCTCATGAGTAATGTTGTCAATAAGTCAGCACAAATTGCGCTTATCAAACTGTAGCCTATGTCATCACTAAGTTTCAAGCTGTAGCACATGTCACCACCAATAAATATACCCGGTGATTTAAAAATATTAGTGCTGCTTAGTACATGTGATACGTAGCTTGTTTACCTCGCAGGTCAAAACGAGTTTTACCTGAAAACTAGATTTTACCTTACGAGGAATGCAATATTTGCGCAGTTTTCTTTGAACAGGTGAATGTGCAATCTTGGTGAAGTCTCTAAGCAAAAGTGGAATTACTTTATAACAATTGTGCGTTTGTCGTATAGTTTATGGTATTGTACATAATTTTTTTGAATAGGATGTGAATCGATGAGCTACTGTTAGTTGCGGTACGTTAGGGAAAGCAACACCCGGACCATGCCGACAGTAGCAGAGTTGGTGTTGGAATATGGGAGTATATCCCACAATGGCGGTTTAAAAATGTACACTAATCCTACAGCAAAGTTTGTGACGGTATTATTCAATAAATTTACCGAGAACTTTAATGAATATCAACTACCAATAATATACAATTACTAGTACATTTAAGCTCTTATGCCTAGCCTCTCGTTGTCTGAATTTTTCATCTCTACATCAGGAGATATGCTAACTCACATATTATCACCCACTATTTGGCTGCTGAAATCACTTATTGTCCCAATATGTGTCTTGCAGTGCCTATCTCTCCGTTCAATAACTAGTGATGAACATGGTACTGTATATTGGCAAACGAACTGAGGTTATAAGCGACCAGAGTCAGGAATGGGGGGGAGCCAGACCATTGTCCTCAAGTACAGTAACAGTCCGAGATGACGAACAAGCAGCGCAGTCTTGTCACTACAATCCCTTCGGATTGTTGTTTTAGATTCAGCTACTCGGAGCAAAAGTTCCAAGTAGAACGGGCTATGGTGAGCTCGTAGTGGACGTATTTAACATCCTTCTTATGAGACCCTGTGTTTCCCTGTTCGTCAGAGACTGCAGATACCGTCTCTTTAGTGGCAGTGTATCGCCCAATCGGTACATAATGGTCGACAATCATGCTTGATTGCCACTGATGTATAGCGGGACTGATAAAATCTGTAGGCTCTTACCAGAAGCAAACATGCAAATAATAGGGCGTCAATTTCCTGCAGAAACACAATCTCCCTTCCACAATTTACCACAGGGCGGTGCTGCATCCCCCATTTGATGTGCTGTAACGACGAAGGTGGAGCTTGCGGCCCAACTTTACCACTCAGCGGTGACTATGGATTAACCTTCTCCCGGCCGGCCAATGGAAGCGGGCGGGCGGAGCGGCGGTGGGCGGAGCTCGACACCTCGACGGCTTATGGCGAACTCGCTCCGGTGTTATCAGATTCGTTGCCGCTGGCGAGAGACGCAGTTCGGTGCACCGCGATCACTTCTTACCTTGTCCACGCGAGTCTTTGTAGTCTACTGTTGAGACACGTCAGTGAAGTCAACCTAAATAACTTTACTTCGGCCATTTGTTTCGCTTTTTTCGAAAAATTTGAAGTAGTTGGGGTATAACGACACGAATCCCACTAATTGTGTGAGAAGTGTGTTGGTGGATCAAATTTTGTGACATTTTCCTGGGTAACTTGCAGGGCTAGAGCGGAAGTCGTGTTACATGATGTCCGGAAACACCGCAGCCAGTCTTCATACCAGTCAGAGGGGGAAAAGCTTCGCTATGGAGTACCTCCTCGGTGGCAGTAGCGGAGGTGGAGGGAAAGATAGCGGTGGCACAGGCGGCGGGGCTTTGGCACCCCTTGGACTAAGCCTACCGCACCTGTACAACACCTGCTTACTGCCACACCTGCCTGGTCTACCGCCTCCTCTTCTGCCCTCGCTGCCATACCCGCCCTTGCATCACTACCCTCTTCCTCATGCCCTGGCTGCTGGCTTGCAAGGTGCGCTTCCCCCGCCCCTCTTAGGCCTGGGGCACCCAGGGCTGGGAGGGCGCCACTATGGGGACATTAGCATGGGCCGGCGGGACGCACTAGGCCTGGAGGGTCCCCAGAGCCCTGGGTCAGCTGGGGATCACACCAACACCTCCGACTCTGATCACCACGACCATGACAAATCAGGTACAGTCACCAAGTTATTATTATCATCATCAATCACCTCCCAGTCACTTTGTTACACGCTGACATGTTTACATCAGTCTAAACTAGACACTTTAAATACTAATGTTTTGTTAACTGAGTCGGTAAACGTATAACAGGTAGGGTCAACATGCCGTGCCATGAGACGCCCTGTTTTGTATTAAGTTAATCATGACGGTAATATTGTTGTTTCTGTGTCAAAGTTGTCACCACTGTCAATAGTGCCATATTCCGTAAAAATAATTATAGAAAATGCCAATATATCACTGCATTCGCCATACATCAATGGTATCTTAAAACGTTTTCATAACTAATTACTTTAATTAAGTTTATGATGAGATTTAGACTGGGGCCTCGGTACGGCAACAGGTCGGGTTACGAGGAAAGGTATTCAAAATAGTGTTATCTACTATTCAAGCGCAGCCTCTGGTACAATCTGCAGCTCCTACAGCCATCACAAAGCATCGTTGAAACATTGTAATTGTCGCAAAAACAAGCTAGTGCTCGTTAAACGTTCAGAAACAGGTGAATTAACATTAAACACTTCATTAAAAAGACAGATTTAGTCATAAATTAACAAACACAGTTTACTTTATATATCTCAGAACTATTTTCTGTATCATAACTAACCTAGTAGAACAAATTTTTTTTCCCCAAATTTCCTAATAGATGTGCAGTTAATGGAGGCATACATTGAATGGCTATAGGAGTACGTAATCCATCTCAAAACCATTACGACGCCTAATAATGCAGTCAGAAACATGTGTGTGACTTGACGCAGACGCTGCTCGACACTATTCCTAATAGTTATCCTTCAAAACTGTAATGAAAATAAATCAAAACTAAATTCTGCTGGGAGGGAGGATGTAAATACGCAGTCCTATAACCTGAGTTTTGATTACTTTTATAAGGTAAAGAAGACCTACCCAGCCAAGTGTACAAAGGACAGGGGGGCCTGACAGGTGGACAGTACTTCGGATTCGTAGTCCTGAGGTTCCGGGTTCGATCCCCGGTGGAGGCGGAAACAAATGGGCAGAGTTTCTTTTACCCTGATGCACCTGTTCACCTAGCATTAAATAGGTACCTTTGAGTTAGACAGCTGCTACGGGCTACTTCCTGAGGATGTGTAACAAAAAGGAGGCCTGGTCGAGGACCGGGCCGCGGGGACGCTAAGCCCCGAAATCATTTCAAGATAACCTCAAGATAATCAGTGTTAAGCTGTTATTGCCGGTGTTAAACTATCATTACTGGTGTTTAGCTGTCATTGCGGGTGTTAAACTATCATTACTGGTGTTTAGCTGTCATTGCGGGTGTTAAACTATCATTACTGGTGTTTAGCTGTCATTGCGGGTGTTAAACTATCATTACTGGTGTTTAGCTGTCATTGCGGGTGTTAAACTATCATTACTGGTGTTTAGCTGTCATTGCGGGTGTTAAACTATCATTACTGGTGTTTAGCTGTTATTGCGGGTGTTAAACTATCATTACTGGTGTTTAGCTGTCATTGCGGGTGTTAAACTATCATTACTGGTGTTTAGCTGTTATTGCGGGTGTTAAACTATCATTACTGGTGTTTAGCTGTCATTGCGGGTGTTAAACTATCATTACTGGTGTTTAGCTGTTATTGCGGGTGTTAAACTATCATTACTGGTGTTTAGCTGTCATTGCGGGTGTTAAACTATCATTACTGGTGTTTAGCTGTTATTGCCGGTGTTAAACTATCATTACACGGTGTTAAGCTGTTATTGCCGGTGTTAAACTATCATTACACGGTGTTAAGCTGTTATTGCCGGTGTTAAACTATCATTATCGGTGTTACACTAATATTAACTTAGTTAAACTATCATTCCCGGTGTTAATCAATTATTAGTGGTCTTAACTGTCATTCCCGATGTTCAACCATCATTACCGGTATAAATATCAACAGTGTTACACTATCAATTTCATAAGTAAATGTCAAGTTTAAATTTTTCAGAATTCAAGTACGAAACGAGCATAAGTAACTGTGAATGGTCATGCAAAATTAAAAAAGAAACATCAATATATTGATAACATAAAATCAGCTTAAAAACTGACGGACACGTGACTAACCAATACAGTATTTTCTCAAACGTACAAAGAAATACATTAGTCTAAGTTGGACCAAGAGCGTAAACCCATTGCTATCCCAGCTACTTGTGAATACAGGTTACCATCGGATGAAAAACCTTATTGTGAATTTGCAATCTCCAACATTTGATAACTTTCCCATTCATACTAAAATTACAAAAATCTGTAGGTAAACAAGAATTACAAGAATCTGTAATTGCAAGAAGTTTCTGAAGGTGGAATATTTGTAAACAACCATTCAATATCCATGCTAGTCATATCTTATCTTGAGGTTATCTTGAGATGATTTCGGGGCTTAGTGTCACCGCGGCCCGGTCCTCGACCAGTCCTCCTTTTTGTTACATACCCCCAGGACGCAGCCCGTAGCGGCTGTCTAACTCCCAAGTTCCTACTTACTGCTAAGTAACAGGGGCATGAGGGTGAAAGAAACATTTTGCCCATTTGTCTCCGCCTCCACCGGGGATCGAACCCGGAACCTCAGGACTACGAATCCGAAGCGCTGTCCACTCAGCTGTCAGGTGCCATAAATACGCTATTTATCGCTATTTTAAGCTGGAAGTAATTTATGTAATGAACTCCTCAATAGTTTAAATACTATTAGTTAAAGGTATATTATAAGTGGAACCAAAAGTATTGTTAATTTATAGTTCAGCGTTCCAACAAAAGAAATTATTTGTTTAATTGCTAAAAAATATTTATGGATCTTAAGAAGTACATATAACCAACATGTGTTGGAACTAGCTGCACAAAGCTCATTATAAATCCTACCTCCTAGAAATTTTATATTTAAAATTTCAAAATTTCTCATCATAAATATTCTCTTAGAAGTGTTCAAATGTCCAGTACTTTGTTTATTCTTTTGTCTGAAAATTCTCACCAAATTGATTGGGAAGGTTTTTCTTCCATAACTAATTTTAGAAGCATTGTGAATATAAATATTATTGAATCTGCTATAATATTAACTACGAAAACACTTTAAGTCAATTTTGGTAACTACTTTCTTTATTTATTTTGTTATATTTATTTAAACAAGTTCTTAGTAAGAAGATTATTGGGAAATTATTCTCATTAGTAAATTAGAAGCGACGTGGTCCTGGATAATCATAACAACCTCATTTGTCATTCTTAATTCTGAGTAAATAAATTTTTCTCTAGCCATTACCTCCAAAAATGTTTTGAAATAGACACGGAATCGCTCATTACACGTTTCATTTTTCTTCGTAATTATACGCTTTAATATGATTCATTACGTGGTTAATATCTTCGTAATTTCCGCACACAGTATAAGTGGGATGAAACCCCAGCTACTCTCGCCATGAACGACAGCATGCTGAGTGTGTTTGGATATTTGCATTTGTAAACAAATATATATTTTAAGTACGGTAAGTTTCCTGTCTTGAATTCAGTTTTGTTCAAACTTGCTTGGAATGTTTGTTGGTATGATCTCGAAAAAGAGTTACATTATGGAGGTCGTTGAACCTGTGTATAAACTTTCTGTATTAACCAAAACAATGAAAAATTCATTGAAATTAATAAAATAACAATATGTATACAGTGTGTCTGTCGTTAACATTTCATTTAATGTAACCTGCATGCTTAGAGGAACATTGTCATGATGGACGAATGCATGGTTTATTGCCTGTGAAGGTGGTTAAGTGGTTTGAGAAGCTTCTCTGATCAAAGTAACAAAAGGACAAAATATGTTCCACACTACAGGAGTAAGCTGTGTGGTCCCACTGTCTCTCCTCCATACAGTTTGGCTCATCCTATTGGGGAGTCGCGCCAAAACTATAAAACACAAGCTAAGTTCATTATTTGTATTTATTTGACGCTAGCGACCTCGTTAATGAGGAAGGGACTTTTTTAAAATATCAATCAAATTCATTACCAATCAATCATTTCATAGTCTCCATATAAAACCACTGCGGCACCGCTGAGAATAACGACAAGTAATTTTATAGTTCTAGTACCACCGTCCTTGTCTGCTGGAAAGCGAGAGTCCAGCGGACACGGCTGTCACTTAATCCCAAAGTACTTAAAGATTTACTGTACTGTTTTACTGTGCCAAATAAAATTATTATCATGATTATTAAAGCTACGTTGAAAATATTGAAAAATAGGGGAAAATAATGTCCTGAAAAATTATATCCTGGGCTGTGGCTTGTATCATGCTAACAAGTTATCAAACTTCCTACCTGGTACCCTACCTGGGTACCAGGTAGGAAGAGTATCAGTGTGGGGGGATGTGGCGGGTACCAAGCAGAAAAGGTATTAATGTGAGGGATGTGGCGGGTTCCAGGTACCAGGCAACCAAGGTTGAGGGACTGTGGCGGGTACCAGACAGAAAATGTATGTGTAGAGGACTGTGGCAGGTACCAGGCAGGAATGATAAAGGTTTGAAGACTGGTGGGTACCAAACAAGCAAGGTATATGATCAGTGCGGAGACTGTGTCGGGTGCCAGACAAGCAAGGTATCAGTGTCGGGACTGTGGTGGATACCAGAGTTAAGGCAATTTAATTGAGAAGCATAAATAATAATAGTCCCGAATGACACTACAAGATAATGTATATTGTTGTAGAACATCAATGTGTTTGTATCTACTGCACATCAGTTATTCCTAAACTTAAATTCTCTTAAAATAATCAGTTACACTGTAAAACTGAGCCTACCGGGTATTCTAATTCACTATCTTTAATAAAAGATAATCACGGAGGAAGTGTATACCTAAAGTGCGCGAACGCTTTCTATGCTTCAAAATAGCTTGTACATGAGAGTACATAAGCATCTTTCAGTTTATATTTCCCATCTGGGTTGTCAAGTTGTCATTTCCCGTTGTCAAATCTGTCCTCGATTTTTTCTTCCATGATTTACA